GCTTTATTTTGTAAGCTGCGCCCATTTGGTATGCAAGCCGTGCCAAAAATCGGCTGAGCGCACAGTTTTCCCATTTGGCTGCAGTCAGAGACAAATCTCAGGCTGACAACGCAGCGCATTTTAAGTATTAATAAGAATGAAATTTTCAGAATGCCAGCAATGTGACTAACAAATGCTCTAACTAAACATAAACTAAAGCACAATGCCACGCAGGCTAATAAAAGTTGCTAAGCAAGAGTAACAGAAGATTAGCCGAAAACAAAAGATAAACAGAAAGAGACAAGGACTTTAATGATTGAATGCTTCTTTATATAAATGCATAAATTATGATTAATATTTACTTTTGCCATGCATTAAAGTACTTTTATAGAGTATTTGCGAGTCTTTGCCAGCTTTAACCCTTTTTGTAGAGCGCATGGGAAGCGCGTGGTAATAGAAATCTAGACTGGAAATCGAAACAAAAGCCCAAAATAAATGTTGGGGAAAAGAGAGGCTTTATGCGATGGCTGCCAGCCAATAGTTGTTTGCAGGCGTGCAAATATTGAGAAGGGGCGTAAAATATTTTACATAAAAAGTTGTAGAACAATAACGTTAACAACTGGAACAGAACGCGAGAGCTGGCAAATATTTGTACAAATATTTGAAGTGCATTGAACAATGCCTCCGCTCGTTCATTTGTTCGTGCGCAGCCAGTGCAGACTGTACCAGCAAAAAGTTGTTGTATGTACTCAAAGCTGTACTTGAACTGAAACTAGAAAGTAGCTGAATGCCAATGAATCCTTGCGGCAAGGTCGAAATTTGTACCATTTGACTGGCTTTTCAATTAGAGCACGGCACAGGTAATTACAGGTGCAGCTACAACAAATGTCACTGTGCGACACTAGCGTTTAATTCAAAATAACTGCCAGGACCCCCCGCAGTCTGGCAGCCCACAAATTCTATGCCGTTTGTCAAGCAACTTCCTTGGCATGTCGGCCACGTGCGGAAATTAAAATTCTAGCTGCGTCAAAGAGCAAACAGCAGCCAGATACCAGACGCCAAATAAAAGGAAAAGCAGCTCGTGTTGCTTTCTTGCAAGTCCCTGGAAAAGTAAAAAGCACAGCTAGTTGGGTTCTTCCTTGTGCGTTCTTTGCAATTGTCTAGACTTGAGTCAAAGGCCTGCGCCGAATTGTATGCTACGCTTTGCTACACTCGCAAAAAGTGCGGCCCAGCCCTGAACGCAATCAATGCTGCGGTAGCCCCCGAGGCAGATCATAGTTACAGCCATGGACACATAACTAGTTGCTCGTGGGCGTATCCATGACTCCGTGTGACTTCAATTAACTTGTTTTGATTGCGCTCGTGAGTGACGGCCACTCGCCTAATGGAAGACCACGAGAAGTTCGCGTATTTGCCCAAACCCCGAGTCGAGACTGCAAAGGGTCAAGAAACTTGGCCAACAGGAAACTTTGCCAAAACGGGTATTGACTTATCAAATCAGCGAACCAGCGGAAAAAACGTTCAAAGGGCTTTGGTAAAGTGCTGGCTTTAACTATTGAATACTGTTGGGAAGTCAGGTTTGCGGCAAAAGAAAAATTGAAGAATAAAAAAAAAGACAGCAAGCGATACACTTTAAGTTCGCATGAAAAATTCAGATTGCAAAAAATGTTTTGCTTATTTTTTATATATAATATTTAATTTCACTGAAATGAAAACATTTTTTTTAGTCTTTAATACGGTGTTGGTAAATTCATTGAAGAATCGGCAGTGCTGTAAATTGTTATCGGTATTCTCCAGCACTAAAATTCTTGGATTTGTTAGCTTTCAATTTCAATTTCAATAAGCTTCATTCATTTCGCACTCAACTATCAGTTTTGCTTACAATAGTGTTGGAAAAGGCTCTAAGCGATCGCCAATGTTGTAAATAGCGGTTTCTTACGACTATTGACAATGTTATCGACTGTTGCATGCTCGAAGCGATTTCTATCACAAGAACTGTTGCATTTCACTTAGTTTTTCTTGCATGGTTAGCCTTAACTTTAATTTATTAAATTTATTTCCAGCTTAAAAATACAGTGTTGGAAAACTCATTAAGGCAGCATTGCAACCAATAGTTTTTTTTCGTAAAATGTTATCGATATTATCATCTGTGCATAGTCGACTCAGCATTTTCTTCTAAGCAGGAATTGTGCAACTAGAAGCTATGCATCTGGGGTTTTTGGTATTTAGGGGAAGGGGTTACGTGCGGATCGGGCTGGCATCTGGTATTGGCCCACTTAGGCAGGACTCACATGAATCGCAAGGAGCCCGCTGGCAATTTATTCAAGTCTGGTAAATGTTTATCAACATTTCACACTTGCGTCGAGATACGCAGGGGCCAAAATCATTTCTCTCGCCAGAGAGGCGCTCTCCCCCCCCTTCCCCTCCTCTATTCTCCTCTCGCTTGCCTGCTTGCGGGTGAAACAAAGGAGCTTTTAACATGGCTGCGTGTGTGCGCGCAACCTTTGGCCGATTAAACATAAATCCCTATAAAGCAACAAAGTAAAAAATTGCCAACGAGCCAAGTAAAAACTTTGGCAAAGTGCTCAGCGTCTTACCCCAGCCCGCAGCCCCCGCCTTCCTACTGCACGTTCTTATCCTCATCCTTGTCGTCGTTGACAACGACGTGCGAGGCCTTTGAAGTTGGCCCAATTCAGGGCAGGGCGGCGCGGCGCCTCGCGAAGCTGCTCGGTAATTTATATGCCGTGCACAAGATCATTTCTGTTGGGGCATTAAAAACTTAAATACTTTTAATTCGCCTGCAAAAATATGCAGGCACAGACGTGCACTAGGCGCTAGTTAGCACCACGGTGCGTATACTTAATGCGGTCGCTAAAGTCGTCTGATTAGCAGCGAGAGTGTGCCCCCCTCCCCCTCCTTCATCACTTAACTACTAAGATTACTGCCTGCCGCATATTTGACATTTATAATATGCAATGCTTGGCTTGTTTTGCGCTGCCTTTGTCCAGAAATTTAAATAAGGATAAGGATAAGGAGCTGCGGCTGCTGCTGCTGCTGCTGCTGCTGCTCGGCCAGCGAATTGATTTGAATGGCCGCAGGGGCAGCTGCCAAGAATAACAATAAACATTGCTAGCTGCTTCATTGGTTATTTGTTTTAGTTGCTGTTGTTGTTGTTGTTGTTATTTGTGGCCAACAAGCAAAACAGCAGCAGCGAAATCGAAGAACTGCGAGCAAAACCAAATTTTAAAAAGGCAACCGCCAAGGGAGGGCGCAGACAGGGGCTGCTTATAAAGCAATATATATTTGCGAGCAGTTGCTTGAGTGGGTGGGGCACCAGGCACACCGCCCACTTGGCAAACAGTGAAGCAATCCAATCGAATCGCAGTGAATCAATATTTTTGGCCTGCAGTGTTTGTTGATTTCTTCTAGTCGACGGCCGTGTCCCCGTGTGCCCGTGTCCCCGTGTCCGGGCTGGTCCTGGCGCCACGCGCTGCAGCCCCAGCTTTGAGCTGTGCATTTTGTGGTGAAGTCGCTGGCGGCAGTCAGCTGTGTGTTGAGTTTCCATGTTCGAACAGAGCGCCGACTCGCTGCCCGAGAGTAAAGGCCCGTTAGCACAGTTTCAGGCTGTTATACAGGCACACAAATGCTGCACTTATACTGGTTGCCTGCCACCAATTATACTGGGAACAGTGGCTCTTATAATTTCACCAACAACTGTTAAGTTCGTGCGCACGTATGTGTGTGTGTGCGAGTGTGCGTGTGTGTGTGTGTGGGGAAGCGGAAACAAATATGTAAACAAAATGGCATTGATAGTGCTTATCAGGACAGCAGCTGTATAAAAATACACACCCGCTGAGTGGAAAGTGAGAAGCTAGTGATAACTGGGTGTTAGCTGCTCGTATAAGACGAAGACGAGCGACACTTGAGTAATGGAACCACATTTCAGCGAGTTAAACATAATGAACGGTAATTTATATCATTTATAGACTGCGCAGCCAACGATTTTAAAATTTTGAATTTAATGTGCCGTTAATTAAAATTAATATGATTTTAAATTCGAAATAGACACATGTTAAATGAAGGAATGCAAGTCATCTTAAATATGCTACTTATTCTGCGTAAATTATTTATTATTATATATAGAAAAAAGCTTCACAGCGCAGAATATTATTTTTTATTTAAATTATTTTTTTTATGGTTATAATTTTATTTTATTAAATTAAATAAATTGAATAAAAGAAATTATGGTGCATTGTATTATACTTATTTCTTATAAATTTTGTTGTTGTCAATTTTAATTCTAATTTCTATGGTCATAATAAATATGTATATTTAGCGACTGTGCCTTCCTGTTTAATCAATTTATTTGATTATTCGTCACTTTATTGTTTTTGCTACGTAAATCTTTAGCTTTATTCGTAAAATAATTTCTGCCAATTCTAATAATTTGTGCCATTACGAAAAAGTATGCTTTATGGCAAATACTGTACCCACCAGGCCTGGCATATTAAATAAATGAATGTTATTTGTGGCACATTTAGCCGGCGATTACTTTTAGCTGCGGCGCTTTCTTTATTTAGTTGCTTAATTTTAATTTGATAACCCGCATTTATTATGCATTTTTACGGGCGACATATAAATCACATACCGCAAAAGCACTAAAAATAAAAATCAAAATAAGAATAAAAGAAAATAAAAAGCAGAACCAAACCGAGAATGAAACGAAACGAGAATGAAAATAAAAATTCGTTGGCCCATGGACCAGACGCACCGAAGCTCGCTCTTGCTGAGCGGCTCTCTTGGAAGCTCTCTGGCGACGCAGCTGCCAACAATGAGTGCGCCTGCACGTATAACAGCTTCCGAGACACGAACGCGAAGAATACAACGACGTCGACGCCGACGCCAATGTCGACGACAACGACGATGCCGACGACTATGACGATGACGACGACGCTGACGTTGGCGCTGAGCTCTGCCCGGCAGGCGAGTGCCTGCTGAAAGTCGTCGGAGCGTTGCGGCCAAGCAGTCTCAAAGCGTACGCCGTCAACAACAGACACAGCGGACATATTCATTCACGCAGACGGACGGGGTGTGCTGGCGTCGTGCGTGGCGCAGTTCTTGAAAGTTATCAAATTCCCGTTGCATTTACCGTTACAGTGCAAATGTTAAACAAAGCAACCAATAAAAAAAGCGGCCACTAGGTCAAACCGCAGCAAAAAAAAAAAAAGAAAAAAATAAAGATATAAGGAAGATAGTCAAATAAATTAAACTAAACAAAGTGCAGTGGAGTGGCAACGCCAGCAGGCCAGGATTTGCCTTCGAAGGTGTTGAAAAAGTCGCGTTCCAACGATCAACGGTAGACGGTACGCGATTTGCCGGCCAACAGCGAGCACGTCGTAAATTTGTGACAAACTTGTTCCGTTAATGCATTTAGCACGTGAATTCCAAGCCCGCAAATTGAGCTAACCACGCGGCGACAACAGCCACAACAACAACAACAACAACAACAACAACAACGACAAGATGGAACATGTGTAAATGCTAACGAGCGTGTAAGTGCAGCCAGTGTTGGTGAGGGGCAGCAGCAAACGTTGACAAGTGTAACGCAATTTGATTGATTTTGATTGACATGGCACTCAGCAGCTGTGGCCACCCAGAAGCAGTCAAGTGAAATACGAGTGGAAAGCAGCAAAACGAAAAGGAAAACTAAAAAAAATTTATATATATGTACATATATCTGAGCAGTGTTTTTAGAGGCTTATGAAAAGATCTGCAGCAGTAAAAACTGAAATACTTTCAATTAAAATCAAACACAGTCCACACATCGACGCAAGGAATTCCTGAGTGCGAAAAACAAAAACCAATAAAATCCAAGCTCATATAAAAAGAAAGATTGCAATAATAAAATATATATACTATATACATACATATACTTATATGAAAAGTTGGGCGCCGGCTAATCAACTGCTGCGCACAACAAAAGCGTCCAGCTAAGCAACTTTTTCTTCTGAGTTTTTCCGTTTTCCCTTTTTTGCGGCGGCTGTCGTTCACTTTTTTTTTGTGCTCATTGCCTGCCATCATTTTTCGCATGTGCTGTGCAGTGTGTGGGTGTGTGTGTGTGTGTGTGTGTGTGGGTGACTGTGTGTGTGCTGCCACATAAAAAGGATATAATATTGCCGCATTGATTTTCTCCCATCGCAAATGTGACATCAACAAAGCAGCAGCAACAACAACAGCAACAGCAACAACAACTTTAACAACAACTTTAACAACAACTTTAACGACAACTCTAACAACCACATCGACTAAAAGTTCAGAGCACATCGAAAGTTTTGGACACTCATTTTGCTGGTCTCCGGGTATGTTATTTCTAATTTCTACCCAACATTAATACTAATCGTCCTTCCGTCCGTCCGTTCATCTATCCGTCCGCCTGTCTGTGCGTCCGTCTGCTTGTCTGTGTGCATAAAACTGAACAATATTGCTTTGGCAATTTTGAGAGTTTTAAGCTTTTTATGCGCAACCTCGGGGATAATGTTTCAAGTTTTGCCCGGCCAACCGCAATATATCCAACTGCCCATCCATATCTATAACTATATTTGGTATCTGGTATCTGAATATTTGTATTTGCGTTTCCGTTTGTATTTGTATTTGTGCGGCATTTGGTTCGTCTAATTGTGTCGCCTGCTCGCAAATCGAAATTAGTATTTGTTTTTTGGGTGTATTGAATGCATATTTGTATTTTGTTCAACTTTAACCTGCTGCTGGAAGTTGACAACGAGAAAACTAATTCAATAATCATTATAAAACTTCGATTAAGCTGATGATCATTTTTTTTATTTGTTAATTAAACAATTTTCCACTTCATTTTTGTCATTGTCGTTTTTTGATTTGTTTGTTTATTGTGAAGCCAAGTACGGGATATCCTCTAGTCTATCACTTTTAGCTAGAGCATGTTGACTTGTATTATTGCTTCTCAATCCTTACAATAAAATATAGTTTAGAAAAGGACACATGCTTTTAATACTCCTCTCTAATTTCGGAATCTTTTAACAGCCAAACAATTATATATTATTGATTATTAAATTGGGAATTGAAGAGGGGAGAGCGAAGGGAGGAGAGTTAAAGAGTGCGCTGGGCAGATTTACATTCAAAGCAAAATAACTAAATATCTAAAGGAACCCACATTAAGTATTTATTATAGTATTTTGAATACCATCATTCCTCTAGTTGCATATTGTTAGGCCCGTATAAAAAATAATAAATTACTAATTTAAGCACAACACGCTGCAATTAACAGCTTTTAGTTTATTTACAATTAAATTCCATTTTAGCACAAGAAAAAGCCACGCAGTTATTTATATATAATTGGGCGATTAATTAAGTTAAATAGAAATTTAGTTTAGCGCTTAGCACTGATTGATAGTTTAACAAATACGTTTGGGGTCAGGGCACAGACACCTATTTCGAGTCCACGTGACCTTCTGACAAATTAAAACTGGCCCTTTGGCCCCACAGCCCAATAAAAGGCAAACAAACCCTTTTCATGGCAATTTTAATTAACAGCAAGCCAAACTCACACATAAAAAAAAAAAAAGAAAAAACAAAATAAAAAATGGAAAAGTATAACATAAAATAAAGAACTTGCACAGTTTAAAATGTTTTTGTTGCGGCTGTGTAAATTTTAAACTGGAGCGCGCCCAAAAAGTAACCACAACAAAGGCAGGGAGCGGGCAGGCGCCTGGAACTGAGAGGCTGAGAGTCTGAGAGGCTGCGATATCTGGAGTGGCTTTTTCATTGGCGAACGGTAGACGGTAAGCGGCACCTGTAAATATTTGGAAGCCCACAGAAAACTTATACGCACAAGAAGTAGAAGGGCGGCTGGCAGGATTCCCGGGGCATTGGCTTTTCCGCATTGACTGGGCGTGTAAATGAGAAAATTCATTATTTAACATTAATTAAGGCTTATTATGCACATTATCAACACAGAGCGCGGCCGACACACACACACAGATACTCCATATTAAATGTCAGCGAGAGAGACGCAGCGCAAGACATAGTGAAAATGTGTCTGCGCGTGGGTGGACAACTATCCGCCATGAAAACTCACAGCTATGCGAGGGGGGAAAAGCACATGTTCATAATTCAGGGCCCATTGAGAGGGGGGCAACGGTGCGAACAGGAAGTGTACGAGTAATAGCAAGAAGAACAACAACATTAACAAGACTGCGGCACACAGCTCGTTTAAATTATTCAGTAAATTGTTAAGTAAATAGCATGAGAGGCGCACGTTATAAAGGTAACCAAAGCCAACAACAATAACAAAGTCAAAATGGCGTCTCATCCTGGTCTCCTCTCTATGAAGTGGGGTGGAGGAGGGTTTCACTTCACACACGTTAGAATTTTAGTGCACATATGAAAAACACACAGCGCTGATGATGGGCGGACAGTGTTCACGACGATGATGATGATGATGATGATGATGATGATGATGGTGATGATGTTGACGAGGACAATGATGACGGGGAGTGCGATGATGGCGATGATAATGACGACACGCCGTTAACGGCTCACCGGAGCTGCTGCTGGCAAATGTACTCATACAATAAAATCAACACGGAATGCTTCTGCCAGACAGACGAACCCGCCTCCCCAAGGTGCGTTGGGGCCCGGTTGAAGAGTGGCAACAGAGCGGATTCGTGCTCAGGCCACAGTTGCCACAGCGGCTGATGTGTGCGTGGGAAAGCAGCGAAAACTGTGCATATTTATGCCAAGCTGGCGAAAACTATGCCGGAAACGGAAGCAGCCAGAAAAGCACAGAGTCAAACTTGGCTGGGAAGCCGTCGTTCGGTTAACCAAGTAAACAATAGCAAACATTTTGCAATGCTTAGCTTACATCAATAAAAACCAGCTACATTGTCAGAAATGCATGCGGCAAACTGAACAGATCTGGCAAAGCGTACTTTGCCTGGGAGATACCTTTTAAGCCTGTATCCTATGACATATAAAAAGATAGTAGGAAAAAAAAGAATCGCTATTAATTTCATATTTTCGATAGTAAGTTTTCATGATACATCTTGTCGTTAGAAATTAATCGTTTTTCGATACAACTCTTCGACAACATCAAAAATATTTATTTTGGGATGCATCCTTTCGATGTTATGAAAAAAGTTAATCGTTTTGCAAAACATCTTTTCGATAGACTGTATAAAGTTGACATATTTTCGATAAATATTTTCGATAGTAATACAGAAATCGATATCTACACGAAGAATCGTATTCGTATCCTATGAATATTGTAGAAAATTAAAGAATCATGTGCTACATATTTGAAATTCAACATTTTAAATGGGTTTTTTCATGACATGTAAACGTTAAGTGTACAACATATTTCACAACTAAACATAATACAAAACGAGTCACACATATCCAGTTTTATTGCAGAAATAAAAATGCTTTTACAACAATTTGGTAAACTATATTTTCTCTATGTTTCAATAGTTTTGCAATGTAAACGCCAGCTTAAGCCCCAGAGCCAACCAAATCACATAAACATAAATAACACGAAAGACAAATATGATTTCAAATAATAAATTGGGAAACAAATAATTGAACAAAAACATGTTTGACTGGGTGAAAAACAAAACTGGACAGAAAAGAATAAATAAAGAATAAGTTCATATTTTTTGGCTAAGATAATTGGAAATTTAAATTTCTGTTTTCAACGAATTAAGTATGGGAAACGCTCAATTCCAAACAAGAAAACATGACTACAATTTTTAAGTTGACCTCAAGAGTGTTATTTGCTAAATCTTCTTTTTTTTTTTGCATAAAAAGAAAAGATCTAGCAACTTTTGGCAGAGTGTTGCAGAGTTTTGGTTTTAATAAGCTGACCTTAAATGTGGGAATCAAAAAATTGTATAATAATTTTGCATGATATTATGGTCATGTGTCAATACTTGGTAACAGCTGGTGATTAAAACCATCTAAAATTTGAATACGATAAATTACAAATACAAAAGTTTAAAAAATTATTGGCCTATGTACATTCACCAATTTTCGTTAACAAAATATACAGAACTTATAGAACTCAAGGGCTTATAAAATCCATGCATACCAAACATACATATAAGCATACAGATTTGTACATATTTGTAAAAACTTTATAAAATACTGATTTTAATATTAGTTGAAATTAACTTTGTTTTTTAACGATGCAATATACATTATGGTTTCTCTATACGAACAAAAAAAGTCTGCGTCAAAATAAGCATGCGGACCACTGTACTTATTTAAATACCTCCAAATAAGCACGTCCATTTATTGGAGTGTCTTAACCAGCTTTTTGCCCACAAATGACATGCAGAGTAAACAGCGATTGCCGGGCCACTTTCTGGGCCACACCCTTTATATGCGCATCTAATTTTATGGCCGAGACAGTTTCGCAGTGTTGCAAAGTGTCGAGAATGCCATAATTTATGCGGGCGGGCTGTGCGAGTAAAAATGTTTGCATAAACTACATATACTATGCAAAAATATGCTATGGACACCGGCGGCAGTAGCAGCAGCAGCAGCAGCAGGAGCCCGAAGCAGAAGCAGCTAGCAACGCATTCAGATTTGCCAAGATAGATCTCGAAAGGGGGCGTAACTGGCACATGTGTGCATGCCAGAGGCTGGCAATGGAGCTCCGGGCAGCCAGCAGCCAGCAGCCAGCAGCCAACTTGCCCGGGCACATTAACCAAAATTGATTTTCGATTTTTTTGCCAGAAGCAGGAAGGCTGCGCATGGGGGTGCTCAGCTGCTTCTGCTGCTGCTGTGGCTGCGGCTGACTCTGACGAGTTGGCGCCGCACGTTTTCCGGGTTAATTTTCTAAAATATCAAGAAACAGGCAGCTGTGGAAGAAGTCCAAGCAGCAGCATTTGAAAATGAAGCAATTTGTTTTGCGCATTTTCGAGTTGATTTGTTCTTTTGGCTTTGGCTTCTTGTTTTTGTTGCCTGTTTTGTTTGCTGGCCTAAGTTTGATTAGTTTGTTTTGCATGTGTGCGTGCTGTCTCTCTCTCTGTGTATGTGTGTGTGTGTGCGGGCAGGGGTGGATTGCGTCTAATGTTATTAATGTATTCATACTAGATTTTCCAAGGGCTTATCGCCACCAATGGACGCCCTGTCAACGTTTATTCTATTGCCAGTTTTAGCTACAATATTTGGCAAAGTTTGTGCTTTGCTTTCGGAAAACTTTGCGGTGCAAATTTTGTGAGTGCTATTCGCGTTACACTTGCCCAAAATCCAGCCAAATGGCTAATGGAGCAGCCAGTAAATTTCCACTTCTTGGCATTTTTGGCCTTTTGCATGCGCAATGTGCTGCAGCTGCACTTTGACAGCCGCCAAGGGTAAAGGTTGGGCGGGGCGGAGGTCGAGTTTGACGGCTTAATAAGCCAAAAGTGGCTGCAAAGTGCTTTGGCTTAACCTTGGCAGTGGGCTTGGTAATTGGCCAATAAATGCACTGCAAATCGGTCAATAATGTGGCCAAATATTTGGCATTTTCGCTGACTAACTGACATTTAACGCAACTCGAACGTAATGGCATGTAACATTTTAATAATGGGCTTAAATGGCGGCTCGCCACTTAATTGTTACTCGCAATTTTTTATTTTCACTTTAAATGCATAAAATGTATGTATATACTACACTTTATATATGTAAATATGTGTGTTTTTTTCCAATTAATTTAAGTGTAAATAATTTACAGCTGGCTCATTAAATTTAAACGAAATTGTTGAGGCTTATATAAATACAAATGACATGAAATTAAAAACCTTAATGTTTGAAGTGAAATTATAAAAATAAATATAAAAAAGTTAAGCTTGTAAATAATTTAATTTTAAAATTGATAGTTTTGACTACCTTTTTCGGAAATCTTTTGATGAAAATGTGAAAGTTTAGTTGAAGCATAATAATATGTTAGCTCTGACTCAAGAAATCTTAATGAATTTATGCTCGTGGATCTAAAATTAACAGAAAAAATAATTAATTAAATTTTAATATTGATTGAAATTTCTGTAGAATTACATTCAATATTCGATTTTTACATTTCCAAGCAGTCTGATACAGCGTAGTCCACTTTTTCAAAGCATCTCTACTTATTTCAAACATTTGCTCCACTAATCTATCTTCGATTCAAATTTCTGTAAAACAGACTAATTTCTCAAAGCATCTCAACTTATTAAAAATATTTGCTGCCTAATGTTATCTTATGTTTAACGCATTTTTCTGCAGACAACAATTGCAAATATATTTTTGGTATAGCTTCCGGGTCGCCAGCTTCTCTAACTTATGCCCCATTTGCTTGCCATGGCTAACTCCCAACGGGCTTAATCAACGCAGCGCTGAGCCACATTCCTGCCCACATCCTGGTGGGCCTCAAGCTGACCATGACGAAAACAAATGGCCGTGCAAAATGCCAAACAAATCAGTCGCAATTACGCGTCGCCCATTGAGAAATAAAAGGAAAAGGAGAGAGAGAGTGAAAAATATAAAATGTATTGAGGCCAGCGGGCCAAGGGTGAAAAATAAATATTGTGTGGGCCATCGAACAAATGTAAAACATTAAATAATTTCATTTTCTTTGACGTAATGCGCCGCAATGAGCCACCAGCTCAATCAGAAAGTTAAGCAAACAAATTGCAGAATGAAAACAAGCAGCAAAAAGCTGAATTTATGTTTCTTTTTTTATAATTTCTGTTTTTTCTTTGCATTTCCCTGTTGCGCTACGCCGTGCTCCAAGAGGAACAACAATAGCATTGAGGAAAATGTGGAATATAGAGAACAATGTACACCAAGGGCTTACGCCATTCTGAGGCAGCGAAAGCAATTTCCGTTCGTTAAACCTACATTTCGAAATTAAATTTCTTACACTTGAAAAGTTCGCAGCTTCAATATTGCGAGGCGTTTTTCATTTGCCACGGCGCGGCGGCAGCAGCGCAATTATGCTATGGGGCCAGCAAGGCGGCAGTTAAGCCGCACACCCACACACCCGCACACACACCCGTATACCCTTGACACCGCCAGCCACCCACAACAGCTGAAACAAGCTCTGGCAAAGTGAGTTGTAATATGGCGAAGGCGCCTTTAAAAGTTTGCAAAGCAGGCCCCAAAAAAGAAAATCATTTAAAAATATGTACAAGCGGCAAAATATACATGAAAATATTATGTAAACAAAATGTGGAGCGTGGGCAGAATCTGGTCTGCTCTTACTACTACTTATATAGCCAGCCAGCCACTCATTACGACCTTCGATCCGAGGCAGAAGGAAAAGTTCGACGCGCTGTTTGCGTACGCGGCCGCTGCTGCGGTTGGCGAGGCCTCGAGTTTTCCTCTTTCCATTACAGTTCTTTTTTTTTTTGTGTTTGGTGGAAAAATTGCTGAGTATTAAATATCTATTGAGTCGAATATTGTGGCATAAATTGAGGCGCGCTGAATGCTCGGGAAAATGTTGCTTGTTTTTCATTATGATTTTGGAGCTCTGCAAAATTTCCAAATTGCTGTCGCCTACGAAATTCTTTTCTTATGGAGCTTAATTGAGGTATTATTTGTGTCATCGATTCGAGGCGAGCTTTTCAACGAGCTGAACAGCTGTAGAGATCGTGAGTTCTTTAAAGTAACTTTCTTGCCTTTTTCCAATCTGGTTTTCCATTTGCTATATGCACACGCTCACGCACACATACGCACTCTATCCTATCTAGCTCATATAATCTGCTTAATTTATATGAAACCTCCCCTCGGTCTTTTTACTGCATGTAGAAAAAAAGATAAGCCCAACAACAAACTGGGGCAAAAAAATGAAAGAAAGGAGAATATGAGACACGAAAATTAGAATAAAAGGGCAACATTGCCGGACCAAAGTCGAGACCGTCAATAAAATCTTTTTTTATAGATTTTATTTGCATGCTCCTGGCGAGGACACAAAGGGCGTTCAGGAATAATAGCCCCCAGATATGGGGTCGGCCATAAAATTGATATAATGTGAATGCAATTTGCTCGCGTTCTCTATGCGTAGATATTTTGTTTTAAATTCAAAAAACCAGGCATTGAGCCTGACACCCGATGAGCTAATTCGACGATTTCCTGGAAGCGAGAAGATTAACTTGCGACATTTTGGTGTGCAGCAAAAGTTTCTTCAAGGGGCTGTTCGGACAGAATACTGGCACGAGTCCTGAGTCCTGTGGCCTGTGTCCTTCGTTCTGACAGTAGTTACCATGCGTCTGGCATAAAACAATGCCATTAAATAGAATATTTAATTTTATTGTTTTCGCTGCCGTGTCCTTGCCCAAAATACGTCATACAAAGGGTCGGCCTCAGAGAACGACGCGCATATTTTAAGGCTTAGCTACAAAAATTTAAATTCCGTAAGCATCCCGAGGAGATATTTGCATATTGTTCATTTTACTTTTTCCAAAAATTTAAGCTCAACGACAATTTTCCTTGTCTCTTTTTTTTTTGTCTTTTATGAAAAGGCGTTCAAAATCATGCAAAAACCGAAAAGTTATAAACATTTCTAATATGAAACCCTTTTTCTCTGTTTTGCATTTTTTTCATTGCAGGTTACAGAGGACGACTAAGCCGAGTCTGATTAAACCGATAAAGGTATGTCCGAAGCAATGTGAAATGCATATTTTTCTTAATGATCAAACAATAGATACCCTGTGAATTGGGAAAGTATCTGGCCTATCAAATTATTTTGAATTACTTCGAAAAATTATTTTCTGACAGATTATTTTTATTAAGCAATATATTTATTCTGAACGGAGTACTTCTATATACGTTTCATTAAACCTCTTTCTTAGTTTTTGAATATATCGTTTAATCCAAAAAATATTGACAATATTCTGAAAACTATAAATACATATAAATATTTTATATACTATTCATTTTATGATAGATGAATATATGATTCATGAAACTTATTGATGGAAATCTTTAAGTATGCCCATTCATTAAAAAAAAAAAGGTATGGAACGTTCTTTATGCAAATAGCATTAAATATGCAAATCAGAAGCTGTGTCGTAGCTTTGAAGTAACTTTTAATTTTTTCGCATTCATTTCGTGCTGGCTGGCTTTCAGGCAGGCTTTCATTCGGGCCTGTCATAAATGGCTGTCTGTTTGCCTGTTTTACCTGGGCCGTCACGGTTTTGGGTATTTGGCCATTCAATTCATTTAATTATTTATGAAAATTGCGTATGCATATGTGCAGGAGGCGAATAACCATTCGTCAAAGTTGTCTGTCATATTTCATTGAGATTTAAAAATAATATTTATGCACTTGCGGGACGGCAAACGGCGGCACAAACAGAATTTCGATTGTGGTTTATTAACTCAACGGCATGGAAATTATGGCAAAAAGCGTTGACCATGTAAAAGGTGCACTGACAAATGGCCAGCACAATAAAAACCAATTTGATTTATGAACAGCTTAAACATGGCTGCCATGTTAACGCCGCAATTGTGGCCATATAAAAATGAAGTACACTTTTTGTCAACGCACCTGACAACCGCCAGGCAGCAACTGGCCAAAGCTGGGCCCTAAAAAAATATCCCAACTTCAGGTGCGTGCGTGCCCAGCAGGTGCTCAAATGTGGCCACATTTTGCGGGGAGACGCCACGACAGTGGCAATAAAAAGCAACTTAAAATGATTTGCGGCCAAGTTCTTTCACTTTGATTCACTTTGACCAGCCTAGCGACATGTCCTGGCATCTAAAATTGGGTCGCAATTGTGGTTGAACTACTTGAACTTGTTGGGCAGTGCTCTATACTACTCAGACAAGGTGAGGCCTCGGCTCACTGAGTAACTTTTTCAAATAAACATTATTTGTAGCGACAGCTTGATACCGTAATGAAAGGCAAGTTTGCACTTCTACAATCCACCTTTTAAAGTGTAATTGATTATTCGTGTATTGTATATCGAAACATGTCGTTTTAAGCTTTGTGCAGCTAAAGGCTTTTTACATAGACTGATTAATTATAAAAATATATATATTTTTGCTTTTAAGCCCTAATAGAACGTATTTCAATTTTTATAGCCATATATGTATGTGTGTGCGTCTGCATATTTTTTTATGAGAGCTAGACTCTGAATTTTTTTTTGTTAAATCTTTTCCGAAGCAATCAGAAGCTTTATCGATATTTTGTGCTGAAAGTAACCTTGGTGAATAGATAAACCCTATTTCTGTTGTTTTTGCCCTGTACAAAATATTTATTTGCAATGTTTCGACAATTTTTAAAGAAAATCCGATATTGTGGAGTCTTATTAGATATAAAAGCTGTCTAGCTGTTGTTTTATTTTATTTTTTTTTCTTAAACATATTTTTAACAGTTTTCAAATGTCAAGTGATTTCTTTGAAATATCACTCGCAAAAAGAAGTGATTAAGGGCATATCAAAATTTATAACCTTGCAAAAATACAGAAGCTTGGAAAGAAGCTTATTTGTTGTGGGGGCGATTCGTGGAAAGAGATTGTCGTCTGAGTGTTTCCAGTGAAAATGTAATTCATTAGGAAATATTTTCAAGTACATGAAAAATGCCACCAACAATATTCGCAGGAATGACAATTTTCAAATGAAATAAAGGCATATCAAATGAATTTCAAGTGCATTAAGCTAATTATTTAAAGCTGTTGAATTTAATAACAGCACAACAAATTTCATTGGCAAACGGCGCGTTTAAAAAATTTCATAAAAAACTCTTTCACTCTTCCACTCAGACTTGATAAAAATAGAATTAAGTACTTGTGAGTAATTTGGCAAAGTCTTTTTGTTGCGAGCCAAGAACCCACATTAAGCTCGTTTCTAAGGTTAACAAGTATGCCGCATATAAGTAAATAGAAACATTGTAATTTATTTTTAATGAATAAAAACTCAAGGTCTTAACTTGGGTGCAGGCGGGCCAAAAAATTAATTATCGTTGGCAAACAGTGCGAGAGAAAAATCATTGCAAGCTTTCGCACAGCATACGTATATATAAATATATATGTCTGTGTGTGTATGCATGTATATATTACTATGTAAGCCGCCTGCTTAGGCAGCCCGCGTATTTCATTACAGGCGGCGGCACTTGAGCGTTGTTAAGCTAAAAGTAAATTGCTTATTAAAAAGCAGCCTCAGCGTTTACACACGCAGATACACACAGTCACATAGATACACGGGCTAAGAGCCGGGTTGGGGGTAGCCTCATGAGGAGTGAGCCACTCATTTACACTTGAAGTGGCAGCAAAAGCGAGAATTAAGTGAGTGGGAGCTGCAGACAACACATGAGGCGGCATGTGAAGGGGGGCTGTCTGCCAGAGGTAATGACAAAGCGCCAAGCTGAAGCTGAAGCTGGAGCTGGAGCTGTTGCTGGCAGGATCTCTGTTAGAGCGCGCGCTAAGGTCCTTGAAGCAATCGACTTAATGCTCAGCCTGTTTTGTATTTAGTTTGCATTTACATTACACGCACACACACACACACACACGCACACCCACACACACTAACAGCTCGAAGGACAACTGCACACATGACTGCCTGCCCCTCTGGAGGGGCGCACATTTAATTTTCTACACATTGTGCCATGTCCTGATAGATTAACTGGGTATCGGTTTTGCCTCTGTGTGTGTGTGCCAAAATAAGTTGTGTCCTTGCCAAACACATACACACACGCACACAGATATACACACATGCGCATATAGCCCCGTGACTCTATGTTACTTGATTGGATGACTGAGACACAGTTCGAAAGTCAAGGTAGCCAGAACTTTGATTGGGGGTGTGTCCTGGGTATGCTGCACGCTTCAATGAATTTTTGTCAACGTGATTCGCATTAGAATGTGTATTCAAATGAGTACATAATTTGTTTGTTTGTCTGTGTGCAGTTAGATATGCATAAATATCGGCAAACGCCGAGGCGCTGAGCTGTTCCCATTTTATGAGTGCAATTATGTGGCATGTGGCATGTGGCATGGGGTGTGCCTATGTTGGTGTGGGCGTGTCCCTGTGAGTGTCTTTCATATAAATTTCAAACAAATTGCAAATAAATTGGAGTTGTCTTGGGGTCGCCATTGTCAACCCTCACAGTCTCTTTAGTGAGCCCCACAAGTTATTTAAAATATGTAAATTTCGTGCAGCTCATAGTCAACCACCCAACCAGCCACTGCCGCCCTTCGCACCACTTACATCCTTATCCGCAGCTACACACACTCCACACACACACACACACACACAAAACGCACAACAATCCCACAGCTTTTATTGCTCTTCGCTTTGTGTCGCCAGTTTAAAGACCAGTTTTCGTCGCCGGGGCTTCTGTGGGGCAAGTCGTCGAGGCGCTTAAGAGCACCAGTTCGGCATATCCCATGACATTTAATTTACTTAAGTTCACTAATCCTCCCCCACACCCTTTTGGCAAGCCAAAACCAATCACATGCTGCGTCTGATGAGTATTGTCTGCCTTTTTAATTAAATATTGTACACGTCCTTCTGCACGCCATCCATATGAGAGTCCTGCGGCGCAGGATGTTGAACAGTGCTCTTTTTTGTGTTTTTGGCCAGTTTTTGTGGCTGCCCCTCGGGCCAGAGCAAAGTCAAAGCGGATTGATTTAATGTTAAAAACGCAAATGCGTTACTTATTTTATTTACATTCACATTCTGATGGACAGCTGGCGGACATGCGCTTTTTGCATTCAGCCGATGCCAAGCGGAAACAATAAATATAAATCGCTTCGAGTGCTTATGAATGCCCGACAGTGCATGCAAATAACAAGCCAAGAACGATACTCTACTGCATTTTATTGTTTGAGTTAAATAAATAAATATATATTTTTATGTGAGTTCTATTAGCCATTCATCAATCAGTTCATTGAATAAATCTTATTGTAACATCTGGTTAGCTGCATTTACCAGAAAAACTACCTATCAAATATATCAAAAAGAAAGAGGAAAATTATATTATAAAGTCATCATCAATTTTGTATACTGTCCTGTATATAATGATTCTTTGGGTTCTTGCTTTATTTATTTATACAGGCTTAAAGTATATTGAGCAAATAAAAAGGCAATATTAATTGAAATATTATTCAAAAAGCAATAAAATCAAATCAATTGCAATACATAAAAAATAGTTAAACGTACGAAATTTTTACTTTTTTTTTTATATATAACAAGAACTTTAAGAGAATTCCATAAACTATTTCATATAATATTTTTAACATTATTTGTGGACCTCAAAAATGAATTTGTTGTCTGTGCTCGTTATTTATCTTAAACATTTGCATTAGAATTTTCTTTGAGAAGGTTTTAGCTGCAGTTGTGTTACTCTACCCAACAAAACGATGCATATTCAGCGCTCATGCCATGAAAATAAAATAAATTGTATGCAAATAAAATCAATCAATAATGAAAAACTACAACAAATGGCGGAAATGCCAATCAAATAACTGTGGCTGGCAAATATTTGGGCCATTTGTGTAAAGTGTTAATGCTGTTAACATTTTTTTGTGCTGCTTAAATTTTTTAAACTGGGGCATGGAATGTGATTTGTGTATAATGATGGCTGATTTCAGCGGGTCGCAACACAAACTCAACAAAGCGTTAGCATTTGTTCAGCCAGTGGAATGGGC